CACAGAAGACGTGTATTGGGTATGACATCCGCATTTTGACTGGCCTTCGGGTGGGTTCGTGCAGAGGAAGACTCCCAAGAACGAACTGCCTGTCTAGAGTGGAGACAGTGCATGCTTTATATTCCTCTACGAGAAAAAAATGTCGGGCTTAGTGCTTAATAGCGTGTAGCGTTTGCAAGAGTCACCCGCGCTGCACGTGTTAATCCCGTCAACCAGTGTAGCTGAGACTTTAAAAGGTTCAATTTCTACAAAACCTAATTCAAAACATAATAAAGTTTATATGCTATTTATTGTATTTGCTAACAGTACTATCAAACCGAATTGCGTATCGTTTAAAAGCGCTTTACACAAACCAAAAACTTTGCTCCAACAGTCCGGGTAAAGTGATCTCGTATTTTTATCACATAATCTTTAGTAAAAGATGTTGACAGAGAAAATCTTGACACGTCAAAGGTGACGTAAATTAATCATTTCCTTCGCCGTTTCTCGTCATTTCCATTCAAAGAAAACACCACAACATGCTTTTAAAAACTTCCACGGCTCTCCGGAAGATTCCTTTGTCGACCTAAAAGGGTGTATTCTGAATACATAATTCAGTTTGAAAGTTATCTTCAAGTTTTGTGAAGTTAAATTATCCTTGGGTTAACGTCAAAGGGCAGTAATGCATTTTTAAATGATGCAAATAAGTCACATTTAACGCTTTTTTTTTATAGAAAATTACAATTATTTGGGTATAAATGGCAAAACCCATTCTGCAGTGCGAAGGATGGGTGGCTTAAAATTAACTCGGTTTCCTCCATGCTATGAGACTCGTTAAGTCGTTCGTCCCGTTTGGATTCCATTTTTTAAACTCATTTTAGTTTTGGTTCTAGATGGCGTTATGGCAAATTATATCGCGATGGTATTTTTTTTTTATATACAAAATTTGATTTAAAATAATTGTTACATTTGATCCATTTAGCATTGAAAATGCTATACTGAAAAATATGTTAATGACAAATGCTTAAAAAAAACACTTTGTCCCTGGCACTCTGAGATGGGACGCTCGTGGGATTCCCTGAATATTGATGAAAATACGCTTCAAAAATTCGTCAGTGCTGTTAGGTCATGGGTAGCTCAGTGATTAGTTCGAGTCCCATCTCAGAGTGCCAGGGAAAAAAGCATTTTTCATTTAAAGAATTTCAAGCATATTTCATCAAAATAAATGTGTCCGGTTTGCGAGTGTAAATTTTTATTTATTTATCTTCGAAATTGTACATCATCCATCCACAGGGAAGGCGTGTGCCTTATTATTGGGAGGACATTAATGGGTATATATTCGGACCACGTAATGTTAAAATTTAATAAAAAACAAAGTAAAGCTTTACTTTTTTATGAAAATTAATAAAAATCCCTAATGCCATCTATCGATAGCAGATAAAATTAAAATATAACGTAACTTTTATATATAAGTGTTTATGTAAGACGCATACTCTACGACGACGCTTTAATATGCTGTTTTCGTGACGTAGTTCGACAGCGCTGTCACGGATCGATGTCAAAATTGAGATGGATGTCACGTATAATTACGTGATCTTTCATGTTCGCAGTCTATTACGTGCAACGGCGAACATGTTCACATTTATAAATGGGTGAGAATTTTCAAAGAGTTTGTTATAAAAATGGAACATATATTTTATTAAGTTGGTTAGATATATTATTTAAATTGAATTGGAGTAAATAAAATATTAATGAAAAAAAAAACGAGTACGATAAAACATATTAATGAAAAAAAAAACGCTGATATTGCACAATCTGATCACATCTAAACGACTTTATTAATCCAATATTAGTGGTTATATCTTTACCAATATTATAAAAAGAATGATTTGAGTGTTTGTTTGCAATATATAATAGGCTCCTAAACTACTGGACAGTTTTAAAAATCCTTTCACCAACGGAAAGCTACATCATACGCGAGTAACATAGGCTATAATTTAGGCTGGTGAAGTCGCCGGAAAAATAACTAATATAATATTACATTATTGACATTAGCACTTAACACTAATTATCCTTAACGAATTTTACCACTGAGCGAAACCAATCTGGGTCTTTTCAGCCCCCTCCAAGATTTTCATAGCAACAGCCGCTCTGTCAAGCCAAGGATACAGCCACGAGAGCAAAATGACAGGGGCATCTCATCAATCACGGCGACCGGCGGCAATACGCCGAAAGACCCAGTGTTTTGAAGATAAAAATTCTTGGCTTGTTTTGGTGTTACAAATTGTCTTACGCTTGAGATCTCTTTGAATTTTCTCTGTTAATGTCACAAATTGTTCACAATATAAGTAAAGTATACTTTTGAACCCCGCGAGTAGTTAGGATCATCAAATCACTCAATAGTAAAAAACAAAGTCGGTTTCTTTGTCTCTATGTATGCTTAAATCTATAAAACTACGCAACGGATTTTAATGCGGTTTTTTAGGAAGGGATTTTGATATTATACAATTCAAAACTACGCGGGTGAAGCCGCTGGCGGAAAGGTAGTTTTATATTAAAAAGAAAGATTTCATTCATCAAGATGTCTTTGATCATGTCTATTAGGAAATATATTATTATCATGAAATAAACTTTATATGTGCAGATTGAAAAATTAATTGGATTTTCAATTGAAAAAAAAAGAATAATATAATAATCCTATTATTATATTATTCAGAATATCGTGAATTTAAGTTAAAAAAATATATATTCAGTGTTCGTTTTACTGTATTTACTATAGGACGGAGAAGGCTAGACATCGATATTTTATTCAATGTAATGTGAAACCATAGCCCATCAATCAGAATCTAGTTTCGTTAGCGTGTAGGGTCGAAGAGACCCGTCTTTTGCTTTTGAAGGTTACATAAAAAGGCTGTTAAAGCAAATATATTATTTGCACTTATAAGAAACCGATCTATCAACTATTATAAAGTAATTAAATAAAAAAGGTCGCAGTCGCCGGTAAAGACATACAAAAGGCAAAATGCCAATCAATATTACTCTGTGAACAGTAAAATTGCAATTGTAAAAAGGCTTTTGTAATAACTGCTGCATGAGTAAACTGATTAATCGAGCATTATGAATAATGCCTACGCAGTATAAAATGTCCGATGTTAGAGGGCAATGTGACAAAACTATAGAAATAATCAAATTGCCCGGGTATTATTTACAATACCCACTACAACCATATGAGGTTAGTGTGGAATTTGTCTTATTCTAATTTGTCTTATCTATATAAAAAAATAAAGTTAGACGGCAAACGACAAAATCCATTTATTAGGGTATTCATAAAATCTCACTTCGCTTTGGTAATGTTTGTTTTTATAAAATCGAGACAGGTGAATATCGAAGAATTTTGTTATAATTTTTATTGTTCCTTGTTCGTTGAATCCTTACTGAAACCATGGCCTTTTTAAACGTACACATAATAAAAAAAAATACAAAATTCTTTAAAACATAATCTAAGGCAGTAAAAAAACATCAAATGTCAGTATTGAAATAGGTTTCGATTTGCAGAGCACGGGTGAAATAAAATCTATAAAATCGGAGGAAACACAAAAAAAACAAGAAGATATTAAAACAGTATTTATTAAATAACAATATGCTAGAGTTTTTAGAGGAAACAAAGTATTTTTTTTTGTTAATTTTTAACTTCATTATTTATTTTTGGATTATTCTGTTACTTTAATTGTAATTTTATTTAATTATATCTTAGTTTTATATCTAACATTGCTATGTAAGTTGCTGCGCCCTATCCGGGTTCGTGTATGAAAATATATATTTTTTTAATTAATCTCCTATGTAAACTACATAAATGCAATAGAATTGAAATGAATTGAATTTAAATGGATCGTATGTGAGGGACGTGAGATTAGGAATACTTACGATTGACTAAATTCAGAACATATCAATAAAAATGTCAGGAGTCGTACAGGGACTTATTTATACGTTGAAGTCACTATGTGATATCAATTTGGTTCACGGTGTACTTGATGGAAGAGTTCTTAAGGTCGTTGAGGTGTCGATAACTTTCTTTCCTTTAGTTTAGTACAAGTGTCTAACCTTATTATCAGTATTTTAGTATATATGATATAAAGCCTAACACTACGTTCTTTACTTTTTTCACTATAGGATACCGCTAGCTAGAAGGAATGTATAGCTTACACTTATAATAGAAACAAAACCATTATATTTGGTACAATGGTATCTAGTAATATATGGGCCAATTTTTACATCCATATAACTTAATAATTAGAACACTATTTAGATTTACATGGCGTAGATAAAATATTTTCTATAATTTTTTACCTAACAATATTTTCAACCGAGTAATCTTTTATCGTGTCATCATTTAAATCCATGTTAAACAGAATCGAGGCAAACAAGTAATCCACTATAATACCCCTTCAAACTACGTATGATATCAATAATACCATTAAAATATCCAATATACCAGTTGTATTGTAAATTTATTCCCTGCTTGAGGATCCGTCGTTTGTCGTCTCAAACAATTGTGTAACTCACTGCTCTGTAATAGTGTTTAAATTGGATCAACGCCCTTTGATTAGTTTAACATTGGATAGCGTAGGTGGATATAGTGCAGATTTAATATAGATTTCATATTATTTGGGAATTTACTGCCAGTTCCGCTAAATGAGAATTTGGTTTGTTAACGTAACTTCAAATACAACGCATTAATGGAGCTATAGTCTTTAGAAGTGGATGTTAGATACGATGACATCATAACGCTCTTTAAAGCAATATGTATTATTGATAAGAATACGACGTTCGTTACCGAGTAGGTCACACGGCGGTTTTAAGGTTTCGCCATCTTTGAGATCCCGGATTCCATTCCCAGTAGGGTTAATTTGGGAAATGTAGTTTTCTATATTGTCCCCGGTATAGTATTGTGTTAATCTCGTTGCTTCATCTTTCCAAAATACAAGTGCATTAGTTACTTAATTAGTGATATGGGCAATATATGTAATGTTGTCTCATCAGACGCACACCGCCCACTGCTGTGCATTAGCCTCCGCCATTGGTCTCCACGACGATCGGTCCTGAGCTGCCGGCATTCAGCGACGTCCTGAAACCTTTATAAGATCGTTTTTCCAGCTGGTGGGGGGCCTACCCACTGAGCGTCATCCGTTACGCAGTCGCCATTCTAGAACCTTTCCGCCCCAACGGCAATCGGTTCTTCTAGCAATGTGTTCCGTCCACTGCCACTTCAGCTGAGCAATACTTCGAGCAATGTCAGTAACGTTGGCTGACATTAATACGTTAATTTTAGCGCCATCAGTGGCTTATTAATTATGTAGGTACAATATGGTTAATTATGAAAACGGCAAGCAACTTCGATCTCCTACTCGCGCGAGTCCTTTATCGAAGAATCCACAATGCCAAATACTACGATGCCAAGTACTGTCATGTCCACTACTACTATGCCAACTTCTTCCGTGTCAAGTACTACAATGCCGACTACTGCCATGCCAACTACTACAATGCCGACTACTATCATGCCCACTACTACTATGCCAACTACTGCCATGCCGACTACTATCATGCCCGCTACTGCCATGCCAATTACTACAATGCCAACTACTACCATGCCAGGCACACCTTTCGCCGATCGTGCTCATCTTACTGCGATGGATTTCTTTCTATATCCCGCGGCCTGGCGAATGAGGTTACATTAGTTAAGTAAGACCTAAAGAACAATGGCCATCTGCCTAACATGCTTGGACTAGTAAAACCGAAGAAAACGTAACTTGATGAAACATTTGTTATTTTGTTTGCCTATGCAACTAGAACAAAGAAAGACATTAAATATATTTTTAAAAGCTGGGAGTATCGAGTAATTATGTAATATGTTTTTGAGGTTATGTCGTATTATTTAAACTGTAGCATTTTGAGTTAGAGGTATTACAGTTGAAATATGTAAAGCACACGTCAGATAATGCCCAATCGTAGTCCTAGAAGTGCATACTTTCACATAATACTTCAAACTTGTTCCATATCTGATATATTATTTTTATTGACTGTAAGAAATAAAATCATTTTTTGTGAACAAATGAACATCAAAAAAAATTATAGAATTTTTAAGATTGCTTCCAATAACTCTACTTTTCTATCTTACACCATAACTTGTATAAAGTAGTAGTGAAAATACTAATTCCAAAAGGATATAGCAAAACATGTTGATTTTTCTTTTCTTTATAACAACTCTAATGAATACCTCATCACGGAATGCTGCAGGAGCAGCTACATTCTGTTCATGTCTGGCCCATCCAAGATACCAAACTATGGTAATTATATGAGCACAGCATCCCAGTGTACATCGACCAATAAGACAATTACAGCAGTGTTCTCTAGTCCATGTAACCCGGATGTGTCATTATTTTATAAAATGTACACATAATATTGTTTCCACCCAATGTCTCGACTTAATTCTACCCCTTATAATTAGGACTTTAATTATATTTAAGTCTAATTCTAATCCAGAGAATCCGGTATTTCTCTCCAGACCTCGATTCTACACTGCCATGGAACCTACTATGCTCCCCATAATACAGAAGATAATACAAGATCCCCGCCAAAGTTACAAAACGGTCTGCGTAGAAACACGTCTGCACATAGTTGTCTAAAAAAGGGAGGTCGCAATCGATTGAATACTGTAATTTCGATTCTTATATAATCATTTGTTTTTAATTTCACTATAAATAAACTATTTTCCTCTAAGTAATATCTAATTATATTAGTAATCTAATATAAGTTTAATAATTTTCACGGATTTATATAGTTAGTAAATAATATAAGAATCGTATAAAATTCGATTAGACAGAAATGACTTCTCTAGGAATGACATTATTAATAAGATGCGTTCAAAAATAACATAATTTAAACTGCGTTCTAAAAAATAATGACATATTTTAGAGAGGATTATCTTTCTTTTCCCAGCTTTTAAAAATAAATTGTTGGTATATAATAATTACATTCAACTTGTACTACATTTTGGTGATAGTTCCATCTTGGTACAAGAACTTTTTTTTCGTAGTCCATTTTGACCATTGTTCTTTAAAAGTATCATCGTCACAAGTCTATTTATGTCCCTATTGCTGGGGCACAGGCCTACCCTACGGTTGAATCGAATTGAAGTGGTAAAATGGGCCATGACCACGCGGGCGAAATGCGGAATGGTGGGTGTTAACATAAATAATAATAATAATTTTTGGTCACCGATCCCATGACCGGTCATTGCAAAAGTTGCTTAACAACCAAGCGCTATCGAATTTCTTCCCAATAATCATGTTCCACGAAGTTTAGAAATCTTCACGGACGTGACTGAAACTTTCCTTCGTTTTGCATCCAAATGAATCAGAATACTAAGATCCCTTTATAAAGGGCTAAATCCCCCTTTAGAAAAGCTTTAATACCCTGTTCAACTTGTTTGCGTGAATAATTCCTTTAATGGATATCTAGAAACTTATCTAAGAAGATCTGCATTCCGTAAAGTCTCGAAAAACCGTTATTTGTTATTTTTAATAGGAAAAAATTACAAGAACTGGTCATTAAAATTATCGTAATAAGAACGCTAATAAGCAGATGTACAATAATGTCACAGAATATGTGCAGTGAAAAAAAACAAGTTGTCATAGTTTCAAATAGTAAGAAGCCTGCTCTTACTATTTGAAACTCTGCTTGTTTTTTACCCTTACTTACTCTTGAACGCAATATCAATGTCAATTTCAATCCAATCCAATGACGATCTCAATGTTCATAAAAACGTAGATCTTATTCTTTAAAGATAGACTCAAAACTTACTCAATGTCAATAGGTTCGTTCAATAACCACGCAATATTAAGCCAATTGGTGATAGTGCATCAAATCAAGAGTATGAAAAGTCACAATTCCAATGACGATCGATTGCTATTGCGTTCAAGAGTATATGCAAATTAGCTATCCGCATTCTCTGTTGTTATTTGGTGCTGGGTCTCCATGGTTCAGAGGTATATAATATATAATTACACATAGAATTGTGAACGCAAAAACCATAGATTTTTTGTCTGATTTCAAATCTTAATACAACATCTACAAAGTGTATGTCTAAATAAAGATATAAAAAAGTATAATCTATGCACAAAAAGGATATTATTCTTAATACTCGTTCCGAACCTCTTTTGTTTTTATATAAACATGTCATCAACATAATACAGGTGAATCTGAGGAAAGGCATATTTTGTTTTGTTATTAAAACTACTGATTCAATTTCGATAAAATTGAAATGGGATTACCTCTGCTCATTAAGCTGTCGATTAAAAAAGAATTTTGAAAATCGATCGGTGGAGTAATCGCGTAATAAACACAAAAACATATAGTCGTATTGAAAACTACTTCCTTTTTTGAAGACATTTTATCATTTATATCAGTTTTCCTTTTTGAATTTACTTCTTATAAAACTTAATAACTACGGAGTCAAACTAAATATTTGCCTCACAAGTATATAAACTATAACGACAGATATGACACTAAACTTTATAGAGAACGATCACATGAAGATTTGAGTCGTAATACATATCGTTTTGAGCTCAATATTGACTGTGAAGAGAATCGCTTCGAATTACTTTTTCGGGCAATTTACGAAACCAATCCTCGTGGGTCCATCATAGAAAATTGTCTGTCATCTCAGATGGAGCGACGATCTTTAATATTATAATGGAGTCAGAAAAAAATATTAATAAGTAACTGCTAATAATTTGTTATTAATAAAAACAATTTATATTTAGAGTTGGCATGAACTACAAATGTATTATATACCGCCTTTCTCACAAATTTCAAGGGTAAAAAGTGGTTTGTAAAGCAATCCGCAATAAAACTGTTATGAAAACTTAAATAAAGTAAATGCATATCGTTTCAATCCAACACAGACACCAGTGCCATCTCTTGGAAGTCAAAACTAATCATTCAATCGACAACACAATTTTGATCAATTGTTTTAATAATAAATGGCTTACGGCTTAAACTAACACATCTTGACACGCACTAATTAAAGTTACAGTTTGTATCTAACCCATACTGTCCTATGCACACGTAAGACTATTAAATAAACCACCTTTGCCTTCAAGTCCGTTAAGGGCTATGCGTCGGGATATTCATTGACAAGGCAAGGCAATTATAACAAATTAATTATGCAATTAAGACAAAATTATCTTTGTCAGTCGTGAAAAAATCGATTTAAATTTTCATACACGTTAAGAATCTTGTTGTGTGAAACACACGCTACCACCTACCCAAGCCTTATAAGCATAAACGTACTTGAGGTCGCAATTAATTAAGCTTAGCTAGATCGATTTGTATACTGATTGAAATTGCGCAGTGAAAAGTATTCGATTAAGAATTTTCAGACCTGGCCGAAATGCGCTTAGTGGCAGTTAATTACTAGCGGTCTGTTTCTAAATTGAGAAAAAGTACGAAATTTTAACTGATTATTCTTAATAACTAGGGTTTCTTAAGTTTAACACGGCAAAAAGTCCTAGTTTTATCAAACTGCTATCAATTGATCATTAAAAAAATTCAAATCGAAACGAAAACATGTCTGAGTGACGTTTAAAATGGTTCGAATACGGTTTGAGACGTACTTAACTTTAAACTCTCGATTCAGAAACTGGAATGTCTACGTATATGTAAGCGCGTGAGTCTATACAAAACTGTTAAATTTTGACAGTCTATTTTATACCTTATTACATTGAGGATAGAGTACAAAGTTCATTGAGGAAACACATATTGTGATAGTCTGACGTGGAGTCGTGAGTACTAATCTGTAAACTAAATTAAAAATATATCTTAAAGGACAATGTCCAGCCCCCATACATTTTTCGCCTAAGAACCTCTAAGCATGTACTATCACTTTTCGTGTTCTAAAGTATCTATATTTACGTCTAAATACATGTTTAAGTAACGGACACTTCTAAGAAATGTATAAATCAAAAAATATATTTTGGATTTGAGGTTATAATTTTAACAATTGTAGTGTGCGGTTAGATTCATTTTAATGTTTGTTTTACTTGCTTTTTGTAGGGAAATGTATGTCTACTTTGCTTTAAATGTTGATTGTTGTTGTTTGCTTTAAAAGGTTCTGTAGGTTCTGTATCGGGAGCATGTACTTACCAATCTTGGAGCAACCCAGTGTTGTATACACTGAAGGATCTGCTCATCTTCTAATACCATGCAACCAGAAGCTGAACCGCAATTAACACAAAACACTTCAACACACCCAGATTCCATGTTAATGTCCGTTAAATAAATGCCAAGTCGTCGTCTATAGTAGGTCGGTATGCCGTAAATAACTGCCGGAGGTCGATATTATAAGACGAAATCAGTCCTTAGTTCAAGCCAAGTCGTTATTTTATAACTAATATTCACAAGACACAAGAAATCGTATAAACAAACTCAAGCGACGTAAACACAACGCGAGTATGAAAGCGATTGTCAAAGAAAAGTTCAAAATTGTCAAACGTATGTAAAAGAGCGCTTCCAGCCGCTTAAAAATCTACAAACGTTTTGAGTCTCGTTTTAATGTCAAGCGCTTTAAGTGTTCATTGGTTGATTATACATCAAATTGTGCATAGATCCTGATTTGTCAACTTATTAAAATATGGTGGCAGCGTTTATTGAAGTTTATCAAATGTATTGATATTACTTTTTAAAGTAATTACAAAAATGGGCAGTGTCCGTTTGATTTTAAAAGCTGATATATTAATCATAAAATATGATAAGAATTATGATATACAAGATATTCTTAGAGGTTCATAGGCTAATTTGGACATTGTCCTTTACGTTTTTTTAACGTTCATAGTCATAGAAGTATAATCAAAGAAAAACAATTATATGACTTACATTCTGTAAGACTATAATAAATTTGCTTTTGTTACCTTAATTATTTCCACGATTGAA